ATACAAAGTGCAAAAGCAGTCACAGTGGGCTTAAAAACCCAACTTGCTGTGCTACCTGGTGGGCTGGTTAGCAAGTTGGATTTTCAAGTCCACTGTGATTGCTTTTGTACTTTGTATAATGTGGACTTTCAAATTCCAAGTTGATCCTAAGTTCAACAAGACCGATTACCATATTCTAGGGCATTGTTTTGCATTTCGATATCATTATTGCTTTCTAGAGTTACACTTTTAATACATAAGCATAAATAAAAGAATGAAAACCATTTTTGTAGGTACAGAATTAGTACTACTCATGTATAATGCACATCCTTACTTTTCCCTCAAAAATTTGGGCAAAATATGTGCATTATACTTGGGAAAATACGGTATTTTGGAATATGATCTGTGTCGACCAAAAGAGGAAGAGAGTTAAACATAGTTCTCTCTTTGTACTGGGTCAAGAGGTGCCTGGACAGATGCCCAGGAGTGATGAGGGCTGTAAATGGACTGGCAGGAAAGTAAACATGGGCAGAAAGCAAAGGACAGGTTTTCCAAGGGAAGGACGATATGGCAGAGACACATGGTTGTGGATATAGTCACAGTGTGGGGTGATGGTTTTGAAGGGCTCTGGAGGCCTCTGGCTGTGACCTCCGGAGGAGCAGTGTCCAGCCTTGCAGTCTGCCCCACCCTGCCCGTCCTGGGCGTGCTCTTTCACACCGTACATTGCTGTGTTCATCCTGTCTCTGCTTTGTCTTGCAGGTATGCTGGGGCCCTCCTGGACAAGGACATCTTCCAGGGGAAGGAGCTGATCAACAGCCGCTCGCTGCAGGCCCTGGTGGCAGGGCTGAAGGCCTATAGCACCTGGGAGAACATCAGCTGCCTGCAGGACTGCCGCGAGTGCACCGGAGGCATGGTAAGTCCAGGGCCAGTGGGCCCACAGGTCCCCAACATACAGCAGGTCCCAGGGAGCACACCCTGCTCGGGCTGGGCCTAGGCTTGGGGGTCAGATGGAGCTCCCAACTGCTCCTGTGACTCTGGGCCCCTTACTTGTTAGCCTTGTGGTCAGTGCGTGTCCTCTTCATATGATGCTGCTGGGACTGATACAGGCCATGTTTATAAATGCTCGGCCCACAGTGAGCATCACCAGGCTTGTTGGTAGTGGTGGGTGACAGTCTGAGAAAGGGCCACTGCGGGTTCTGGTGGTCAAAGCTCTGCTCCAGCGTTTTAATCCCTTGGAGAGAACACTGGAAATGACCCTGTGGTTGTCCTGTCCTTGGGGAGGAGGCAGAGGCAGAGGATGTAGAGATGCCTGCTGTGTCCCCAGCCCTGGGTTGCGGACTGGGTTGTACAGTCAGGAGCATAGGTGGGAGAGATCCCAGTGTGAGTCTCTGGGGAGACAATGGGTCTCTGAGGGCAGCAGGGATCTGTGGCCTGTTCCCATACAGCTCTGAGAGCAGAGGTGCCTGCAGGATTCAGGGGGTCTCTGAACCCCTGTGGGAGCCATGATATGGGGACCCAAATGGTGTGTCTGAGAACAGGACACACAGGGGAAGGGGGTGACAGACCTGCGATTAGCTGGCATGACAGGACCGCAGGTGTCAGCTGTGTGTTGCACCAGGCCACACCTCCCGGGGGAGAATAGAAAGAGGGTGCCCCTGTTGGGTCTTTGGTCTGAACTTAGTACTATTGGATATTTGCCTCCCTCCCCCAATCAGCTCTAAACCTGAACGGGAGGAGGAGGAGTTTCAACTTCAGTAGACAAGGGGCAAGAGCAAGTCAAGAGCAGCTATAGAAAGTGAAAGAGGAGGGATGAGTTTTTGGAAAGCCAATACCCTGCCCTTTGCTCCAGAGCTGGGAGACCCCATGGAGGGGTGGGGAAAGGCTGGGTCTTCACAGGAGGCAGAACGGCAGTCAGGGCCTGACAGTCTCTTCCATGTGAATGGTGGTGTCTGTCTACCTGAAAGCCAGCATGATCATTCTCTTGAGGGGCGAGTAAAGGTGTGTCCATGATGGTGGTGGGGGTGACATCCTGTGGGGATGCTGTGTGGAGTCCACATGGAGCAGAAAGAATGGAGAACAGAGTTACAGCTTTCACTGGGCACAACCAGCCAGGAGCTAAGGTCCTCTGAGGCTGCGAGGACAGTGACCTGTTGCAATTGTCCTTGGCGACCTGATAGGTCAGGAAGCCTTTGTCAGGGGCTTGGTTTCCATCTACAGTTGAAGGTCCCTTTAAACCATAAGCTGGGAACATCTAGAGTTAGAACCCAGGGGTTCAGGGTGAGTAAGTAGGTTAGGTCAGTAGGTGAGACCTGGAATGCACTTTCAGGCAGGGGCAGCCCACCCAGGGGAGGGTCAGGGGCTCTTGGAGTTCCTGAGGAGCTCAGATACAGTAGTCCCAGTGGGTGACTCAGCCTGAGGGTCCACACAGAACCACCCGTGGGCTTCCAGTCCTCTAGGCTGGTTCCCTTGGCTCATTCGCTCCACTCAGTCCATGGGCCAGCATGCCCAGCAGCCTTGTGCCCCCAGACACTTATGGCCTCCCTATGTAAAGGCTCTTCTGTACTCCTGTTGTCCTCATGAACCCCCTTCATCTGTCCTAGCCCCATGCTTGCCCTAGGAGGCCATGCTGTCCTTTGGTCATCCTAAACCCTAGCAGGGCTGCCCAAACTATCGCCCCAGCTGCTGTCCTGTGGTCCTACCCCAGCATGCCTGCCTATGCCAATCAAGACTACACAGAAGCATAGAAATTGCCTCGGCCTGCCTATTTGAGAAGAAACACAATGAGAGGGCTGCTTTTCCAGGCAAGGAGACCAACCCTATCCCCCCTGGGCCTGCAGACTCTCTGAGCTCTGCTCCTTGGTAACTCCTCAGCATCATGGGCCAGAGGGTCCTAGGAGGAGAGCACTGTGTCCTGTACTCACAATGCCTCTTATACCAAATACGTGGGCTTTCCATATCAAGTGGTTCTCTAATTCTCTGTGGATCCCATCTACCACCCTCTGATTTAATTCATTCTGACACTAACTACCTGGAGTGTGTGCAGACACCAGTCGTACCACCTTGGACATCAATCACAAGAACTGGGTCTCCTAATTACCCAGACTTTTATCCGACTTAGCTGTAGATTGGGGTTCCCACGCCCTTTTCCTTAGGGTCACCAATTTGCTATAACAGCTCACAGTACTCACTTAGCATTGACCAATTTATTGTAAAGGATATAATAAAGGATACAGATAGGCAGTCAGATGAAGTGGTGCATAGCCTGTGCTCCAGAAGGGTTCTGAACATGGGAGCCTCTTGCTTCTGGAGCTGGCGTGTATCATGCTCGCAGCACATGCATATATCCACCAGCCTGGGCCCTCCCTGAACAGTGTAGCTCAGGGATTTTTATGGAGGCTTCATCACACAGGCGTGATCACTTACTAACTCAACCTCTAGCCCCACTCCCTTCCCAGAGCATGGGGTGGGTATAAAAGTTCCAAACTTTTCATCATGGCTTGGTCTTCCTAATGACCGACCTCTGCCCTACAGCTGCCCAGGAGCCCACTAGGAGTTGCTTCAGTAGATGCTCCCACCACCTAGGAAAGGCCAAGGGATTCAGGAGCTCTGTGTCAGAGCTGGAGGCAGAATCTTACAAGAGTAATATTTTATTGCTTGAAGAACATTCTTAGCAGTGACGCCAATGCAAATTTTGAAGTAATGTTTTAATGGCTTGGTACCGGTTATCATGTAGAAAATTTCTTCAGCCAATCCCTCAAATTATGTCAATTTTTTTCATTATTATAAGTGATATGACAGGAAAGATTCTAGCACTTTAGTCCCTAAATTTTATTATTTTTTTTGCATGCCTGGGATTGTTTGAGGGGGGATCAAGCACTGAAATGATAATTGGTATTGTTAACAGAGGTTATACCAGACGTCCACTCTTGCTACCCAGCTGTTCAATGCAGACTACTTAATAGTTTCTAGTTGAGTGGCTTTCAAATTCTTTTGACCGTGGCCCAAAGTAAGAGGTACACTTTTTATTACAACCCAGTGTTTATAAATACTTACATACCAAATAGAAAAAAGAAATTTCATAAAACAGTGTTGGCCTCACTATTGTGATGTGTTTTCCTATTTTGTTTTTATTGTTATGTAGTTTTAACAAAAGCTAGTTGTAGTGCATTAGATTGACTTCATGACCTCCTGCGGTATCACATCCTGCTGTTTGCAAAACAGTCTAGACCCACTGGTCAAATAGAGAGAGCCATGGATCAGCAGAATGTCTGTGGTAATAAAAAGAAGCTGAAGTTTCAGGGGAAATATATGTTCTAGCCCAGGCTATAGTGTGGCTTCTGCTGAGACCAAAAGATCTGATAATTTTGTTTTCACTGGAATACTACTAATTTGGCTTTTTGGAACTTAAGATTTTGTATTTCTAATGGGACAGAAATAAAAGCCTTTAAGTGTCTCCTAAGCAACGACCCTTACCAAAAAGAGATGAGTTCTTTATATTTGCTTGGCTTGTCGTGTACGAGCTTGTCCTTGGGGAGGAGGAATGAATGTGTACAGCAGCTTCTCAGTATAGCCTGGGTGAGGGTTCATGCTCTTGAACTGCTCAAGGGAAACCTTTGGATTCTGTAGCTTCACAAATTTGGATTCTGTAGTTTCCATAACACTTGCTAGTTGATTTTAATAACATTATCTCCCTGTGTTAGAAAATCATGAGAAGGTCTTAGGTTGGCTATTGCTACAGGAGCCTCTGCAATTCTTGCTTTCTTGAGAGGATAGGCTGAATGTTGCAAGAGTGATACTTCTTGGCTGAAGAACGGTCTTAGTAGTGAAGTAGATAAATGCAGAGTACACACAGAAGGGAAACTCTGGAATTAAACCATATTTTAGCTACTTACCTCCTTTGTTTCTGAGCTCTAATTTTTCTAATTATCTCTAACTTTGCAGCGTAGTCTATCACTTTTTGTTCATAGACACAAAAAAGAATTGTTTTACAAAATATGATCATGAAATGAACAATACAGGTTGGAATTTCCTTAGTTCATGTACATACAAGAACTTCGTAGCCTTAATGACTTAGAGTAAACATCATTGCTAAGCATTGCTAGGTTCTCTTTATGTGTGGAATGTATACAAGGTACATGTTCCCAAAGGCTGGGTAACATGAGGAGGACACTACACTCCATGGAATTGGAAGGTCCTGAGATTTCAGCCAAATGAACATTAGGGGCCCTGTGACTGAGATGCCAACTAGTAGGCAGCAGATACTCTCTTGACTGAAACAACCAAAAAATGCATGATATATATGCACTAAACAGTTTGTAAGACCCTGGACATCACGCAATGAGGAACAGTGATCTTTGAAAAAGAGAAAATAAACCAGATGAGCCATATGCTATTCCCAGTTTGCTGCCTTGAGAGAGTTTTCAGGCCATGCCTGAGGAGGGGAAACTGAGGCAGCGCCCAGCAAATTCTCTGAAGACATGAGGCTGAGTGCACAAGGAGATGAAAGCATGCTGAGTTTACAGTACAGAATAGAGGACAGGGAAGAACTGGACAGGGAGAAAAATCAGAGGTCTGCAGCAGGTACCTCCAATAGTCAGCCAAATATTGACCAGTGCATGTGTGTGAGGAAATGACTCCAGGATGAGGAAAGAATCACCCAAAAGGATGATAGGGAAGGGGATCCAGTGTTCACACGGGACTGGGAATGGTGGCTTTTCCAGCCAGTCTGGAATATCTTAAAACTCACATCTTGATGAAAAACAGGAATGCTGTGTATAAAAGAACAAAGATAAGGATGACAGCAGATTACTCATTAGAAACAAGACAAGTAAGGTGATGGTGGAACAGCATCTTTAAAGAACTGAAAGGAAAAAAAATCAATCTAAAAGTCTATATCCAACAAAATGAGGCTTC